CTGGGTATGGGGTTTGTTTCTCGTTTTCGCCATCGGCGGTGGCTTGCTGCTCACGAGCGGCTCCTCCTCCGCAACGGAAGTCACAGACCCAGCATCACAGACTATCGCACCACCCCCACTGAACCTCCGCGGTTCGAACGCAGCATCGCCTCCCCCAGACACAACGGAGATCTCTGCCCTCTTCGAAGAAGTCGTATTGGAAAATTCTCAGCTCCGCTCCCAGGTGCAATCCATTCGGTTCACGAACGAGTATTTATGCAGACGACGCAGGTTGCGGCGCTTAAAACAACGAGCTCCATCCGTGGACAGGGAGTATCAGATGCTGCCTTCTCCTCGCTCTTCGACGAGAACGCCAAATTGCGCGAACAGCGCGTTGCGCTGCGTCAAAAACAATTGCACGACTTAGAATTGAGTGTCCTCCTCATTCTATTGATTCCAGGCTCGCGGCCAACACAGTTGATGGCGATTTCGACATCGCAGCTTATAGGGCAGCGGCCCTTGAGGCAACACCGCCAAATATTATTGAGTGTGCGGAAGCTAACGAAGGTGGTAGTCAGGACGCCTGTCACTTGCCTAGCGTACACAACGGTGTAGATAACACAATGCGGGCAGGATTGTAATACCTTGGTAACATGAGACCTCTCAGGCGCGACGCTTTGAAGCCCTCAATCAGGAGGGAATCACCCTCTGGATGACTGGTCTCTCCGGTTCTGGAAAGTCTACCATCGCAAAGGCATTGGAAGAAACGCTCGTTTTGAAGTATGGCAAACACGTGCAGATGCTAGACGGTGACAATGTACGCACCGGCCTGAATCGCGACCTTGGATTCTCTCCTGCAGATCGTGCTGAATCTGTTCGCCGCGTTGGCGAGATGGCCTGTCTTTTCAATGGCGGTGGTGTCATCACCCTAGTAACTCTGGTTAGTCCGTATCGTGCGGATCGGGAAGCAGCTCGACAGCGCCACGAGGATCAGGGGCTCAAGTACCTCGAGGTGTTCATGAACGTTCCCCTGGATGTCGTCCAAGAGCGCGATCCCAAGGGCCTCTATGCTAAGGTTGCCGCGGGCGAACTCAAGGGATTTACTGGAGTCGATGCACCGTACGAGCAGCCCCTGCACCCCGATGTTGACCTGCCTAATTGGGACCTTGAACTGGACGAGTGCGTTCGTATATTAATCGAGAAGCTTCGTGTCGAAGGTGTCCTTGACGGAGGGCCATCTGACCCTTCGGGTTTACCACTGCCGCCAGGGTTCACGGGGGCATGGCTTGAAGATGAGCTCATCATTTCAAATAACAAGTTTTCTGCTTCTTCAGCTCTAGCTACAAAGCGGGCCGCAGAGGATGGATCTCTGCCACAAGCACGCCTAAATGATATTGACGTTAACTGGCTGCATGCAAGGATTCCCTGTCTACCTTACCGATTTAGCATTTAAGATTTGCTTGCGTGAAACATCCGCACAGGTCATATCGGAGGGCTGGGCCCCCCCCCTTCGTGGTTTCATGCGCGAAGGCGTGCTGCTTCAAGCCCTACATTTCAATTCACTGCTAATCGATCCATTTGACGACGTGGGAGCCAAAGAGCTCAACTTTCAGCAGACCAATTGGAACAATAATGAAGTACGCGGAAGAAAGTGCGTTCTTCGCGCACCTATTTATGATTTATCTCGAATAATGCGTTTGAGATGTCAACATGGTGAATACTCGTTCGCAGGCGCGTGAGTATGGCCGTGCCAATCGTTCTGCCAATTACTGAATTCACCAAATCCGCTATCGAGACCTCGCCATCCGGCGCGGTTGCGCTGATCGACAAAGATGGACATGCACTAGGAGTGCTCAAGAACCCCGAAGTGTATCCAAACCGAAAAGAGGAAATTGTCAGCCGTTGCTTTGGTGCAATCGATCCAGGCCACCCGTACATAGCGCATGTTTATTCGGGTGGGAACTACTTGCTAGGCGGGGAGGTGGAAGTGTTTGAACCAATTAGATACAGGGATGGTTTAGATAAATGGCGGCTGACACCGAAGGAACTCTATACCAATTTTAAGGCAAAGGGCGCTGACGTGGTCTTTGCATTCCAGACTCGCAATCCGACGCATGCTGGTCACGCATATCTGATGCGCACAGGGCGCGAGCGCCTTGTTGCTGCGGGCTACCAAAATCCAGTCTTGTGGCTCTCTCCTCTTGGCGGGTGGACCAAAAGCGACGACGTGCCTCTTGATGTTCGTGTAACTCAGCATCAAGCCGTCCTCGACGAGCGTATGCTTGATCCGGATTGGACCGTGATGGGTATATGGCCTGCTCCAATGATATACGCCGGCCCCACGGAGGTTCAGTTTCACGCAGCAAGTCGTCGCGCCGCTGGAGCGTCCTTCTTTGTTGTTGGACGCGATGCTGCTGGTATTAAGAGCTCCCCAGAAGCCACATGGAACCCCGACGATGA